GGGGGGGGGGGCGGGGATGATGGGATTCTTCTGTGTCTTGATTGCCAGAACTCACGGGACACTTCCATGAGCCAAGAGTGAATTCTGCTGTATGTAAATTACACTTTGGCACCAACTTGCTGAGGACAAAGTTCTGGAAAGAATGAGATGTCATTCCCTTCATTCTTTCACCCGCTCCATAATCTGCTGAGTCAGGCCACTGGGCATATGGTGGTCGCCTGGTCAGAGGTGGTCCTGCCCCCTTGGGGCTCATGCCTAGTGGGGAGACGGCCATTTGACAGAAGTACCTAAAGGGCAGTGGGGGTTCTGAGGTAGGACAGGGGGCAGTGGGCAGGCAGGGGACACTGATGTGGCATGAGGATCAGAGAGGTCCCCCAGGAGGGGGATGCCTCAGGTGCGCTTCAGGCACGAGCAGGAGTTAGCCAGGTGAGTCGCGAGAGGCAGGAGTGGCAAGGGAGGTGTAGACTACTCCGGACATCTGGTGGGCTGAGGCACGAGTGAAATGTCGTGTAGCAAGAATATGAAGCAAAGAGAGGCCCCCTGAGGCTGGCCGGTGCGGGGGCTTTGAACGGCCCCGATGTCTGCTGTAACCCTCACGCACTTGGGAGCCAGGGCAAGGTCTGTTAGAAAGTGGGCCTACCCTTCACCCCAGCGGTGCTTCTCTTCTGGGGACTCAGAGCGGCCACTAGGATGTGTATTGAGGCCTCATGTGGAAGAACACAAGACTGGGAACAGGGTCCGTCGCTGGGAGACCGGGTCTCCAGATTGTGGCACGTTGATACAACATACTGCGTGCTACGTAAGCAGCGGCGAGGACGTCAGGGCTGGGGCCACACATACCGGCACCCGGAGTATGCTGGGGGAGCCCACAAAGCAAGGGACAGAATGAAACAGAGCGTAACGTTTGTGTACGTTGAGGGCCCATACGTACTTTACGTTTTGCATGGCTACGTAGATACGTAGAGGCGAGGATTTAAAATCACGCATGGAAACTGGGGCGCTTGGGTGGCTGAGCCGGTTGAGCGTCCGACTTCAGTTCAGGGTCATGATCTCACTACTCGTAGGTTCGAGCCCCGCATCAGGCTCTGTGCTGACAGCTCAGAGCCCGCTTCAGATTCTGTATCTCCCTCTCTCTCTGCCCCCACCTTCCCCGAGCATGCTCTGTCTCTGCCTCTCAGAGATGAATAAACATTAAAAAAATTTAAGGAATAAAATAAATAAAATCATGCACAGGAACGATAAACAGCAAATCCAGGAGGGGTGGCCTTCAAGGACCAATGAGATTAGGGAGAGGGATTCAACTCTATCTTTGAGGTTTTGTTTCTCTTACAAATAAAGGATTGGATGGTGGCCAAATGGTAAGGGTAAAGTTGGGTGTTGGAACATGGGTGCTTACTGCGTTATTCTGGGATTTTAAATATC